GGTGGTGGCTGCAGTGCCTGAGGGCTTGGCAGTTCTTGTTTCCACCCTGAATTTCTTCAGGGCTCACCTTCCGGGATGGTTGTAGGGGCTCAAAGGCTGCAACATCCTTTGTTTACCGATATGGCAGGCAACATTTTTTCACTGATAAACTAAAGGTGAAAGGCCCTGCCCTCATGGAACTGAATCATCTAATTTGGTAAAAGCATCCCTGGTGGGAAATGCATAGGCACCCCTGCCCCCCACACACACACACACGCACACAAATTCCTGGGCGGAAAGTGTGTGGGAGTGCCCACATCCCTAGAGGTAAAGCATCACAGGTATCCCTAGGAATACACACCTCAATGGGAGAAATTAATACGGGGACACGTGTGCCTCGCAAGTATGTCCTTGGGGTACACACATCCTCCAGGTACAGGAAGACTTTCTAAGGCACAGGTCAGGCTCAGGTGGTTTCAGGCAGCGGTCCCCAAACGTTTTGGCACCAGTGACCGGTTTCGTGGAAGACAATTTTTCCGCGGACGGGGGGAGGGGGGAGGGATGGTTCACACGCTAATGCGAGCGACGGGGAGAGGCAGATGAAGTGCCGCCGCCGGGACGGACCGACGGCTCACTCTGCCTCCTTTTGTTCTACACGTTTGAGCCCGGGGCTCAGGCCCAGTTCCTAACAGGCTGGGGACCGGTACCAGTCCGCGGCCCGGGTGTTGGGGACCCATGGTTTAAGGAACTCACTGCACACCCCTGACTCCGGATCCTCTCTTGTCTAATGTCCTGCCTGAGGCCAGCTCCCACCAGCCTGTTCACAGCCACCGCAGTATAACTCACCCTCTTACCCACAGGGAATCTGGCCCAGGGGAGGAATCTCTGGGCCAGAACAAAGGAAAAATTCAGTAATGCAGCCCTGGGAGAGGCCCAGGAAACAGACGGATTTAAAGGACACAAACCAGAGGCCAGAAGTCGCATCCCTCACAACTCTAAGAAAACTTTTTAAAGGTAAGACGTGGTAGGAAGTTTCTGAGAATCATTTTCGTGGACACGTGGAGTCAAAAATGGAGGCGGCTCCGTAGTCCTTGCCGGTGGGCCCCGCAGCCTCTGGCCTGCCCGCTCGGCATCCCTTTCCTTTCTCCCCTCCCCGGGGCTGGGGCCGCATCCCGGGCAGAGCACCGCACCACGAACACCAGCGGGCCCCGGGCCTTGCCCGCTCAGCACTGGTGCCCAATAAATGCTCTTCGAGTGAGTGGCCACAAGGGCTGAACGAGCTGCGCGGGGAAGGGGGCTCAAGAAACGGCGACTCAGGCGGCGGTGGGCACGGGCCTGTCCTCCGCGGACCGGCGGACCGGGGACTCGCCCCACATTTGCTCAACATCCTGCCCTCAGCAGGAGCTGGCGACGCGCGTTTAGATGGCGCCGGGAGCCCAAAAGGGGCTCCACGAGCCGCCGCGGAAGGGAGGTGGCCAGGCTCGCGGCGGGTTCCCGGCCGGCGTTTAAGGGTCTCGGAGGAGGAACGAGCGAGGGTCATGGGCTGTCCCGAAGGTCACGGCTGCGCGCTGCGCGGGCCGGGCGGGTCTCGGGCCGCGCGGCCCCGGCTGCCACTCAGTCGGGTCCCGGCGGGACTCGGGGCGCCATACGCGCGCGGGCGCGGGCGCGGTCGGCCACCGCCTGGGTCCGCGGGGCGGGGCGCGGCGCGTGCGCGGCGGGAGGCCGGCGGCCGGCGCACTCACCCTCCTTGGCCTTCCTCCTCGCCAGCGTGCCGCCCAGCTTGCCCAGGAGCGACTCGTCCTTCTTAATCCTGTGGGGCCGCAGGGCGGGCGAGCGCAGCGGCGCGGAAGACATGGGGCGCGCGGGGTCCCGGCAGCCGGGCGCGGGCGCGGGCGCAGCGCGTGTGGGAGCCGCCTGGTCGCCGCCGCCGCTCGCCCCGGGGAGTGGCCGGGAGGGCGCGGCCCCAGCGCCGGCCCCCGCCCCCCGCCCGCCCCTGGCCCTGCGGAGCCCGCCGCCAGAGGTCTGCGCCGTCTCGCGCTCTGCGGTCACCGCTCCCAGCCCGCGGGCCGTCGGCCGTCCCCACGGTGCGCGTCACACTGGCTCTCAGAGCGAAGCGGTGGTTCCGCTCCCAAGTGCCGCCGCCGGCACGGACCGAGGGCTCACTCTGCCTCCTTTCGTTCTACACGTTTGAGCCCTGGGCTCAGCCGGCTCTGGTGACCGTAGCCGGGCTCCGCGGGGCAGCGAGGCAGCCAGGGCCACCACCTTTGAGCAGCCGATGTGCATCAGATAACCGCACAGATAGGTCATATCACCTGCTGAGCTTTTACCCACAACCAGGCTTGGGGCCGGGGGAACACTTGTGACCTATCCCTGCCCTCTAGAAACCTGCAGTATGGTGGGCAATACCCGCACATAGTACCCTGTCCTAGGGGAGCTCAGGACGTTTCCCTAAGAGGCGATGTGGAGACACAGGAAAGAGCCCTGCTATGGAATCAGGGGTAGGAGGGGAAAGCAGGACCAGAGGGGACAGTGTGGGAGCTGCAGGGAGGAGAGAGACAAGAGGACAAGGCAGGCCCTGTAAGGGCTGGAGGGCGGGGAAGGGGTTTAAGGTGGAGGTGACGTGGTGGATCCGGGTTCTACAAAGTGGACTCTGGGTGACGTGTGCCCGTGGGCAGGGAAGGAATAAAGCCAGAGGCAGGGAGACCAGTTCCGAGGTCCCGGTGGCTTAGGAGGGGCGTGAACGGTTTCTGGAGACGCTCATAGGTGGAACGAGCCCCAGGCTTGGCGTGGGAAGAGTTAAGGCTGTTTCCCACTGGGCCCAGCAGGTCGGGTGGGGTCCTTCACCAGAGATAAGGACTATCAGAGGAGGTCAGCTGGGGAGGAGCCGGGGAGCCTAGGTCCACACGTGTGGTTAACAGGGTTTTCCACCTCCCTTGGGCTGTGGCTCATTGCCCCACAGCACTCTAACTCCTCCAGGTCCCATCAGTAAAGGTTTCTGTTGGCCGAGCGGTGCCAGGGCTGTCCTCCTGCAGGGATGCACTGACCACAGGGGCAGAGCCTTGCCCTCCAGGAGCTGGTGATCCAGGGGAACGTGCACGCCCTGAAGTTAGGAACCCAGCGAGGTGGGAGGGGAGCAGGAGAAGGAGAAAGTGCGGGAGATGAAGGGACACAGATGCCCTTATTCTCTTGAGGGATAAGATTCAGGGCGGAAAGGGAGCATATGCCAGGGAGGACGCAGGCGCCTGGGGGATGGGAGGGAAGCCCGGGATGCAGGCTGCCCCGTGTGACTAGGTGAGCGGGTGAGGCCATGAGATCAGTGAGCCCGCACAAGGAACCCTGAGCCGCTGAAGGGGTCTGAGCAGAGGGTTGATGCAGAGGATGGTTGAAGCAAAACCCCCAGCCAGAGACCAATTCAGAAGCCACTGAAACGGGCAAGGCCAGAGTTGCCCGTGGCAGAGGGAAGGAAGAGATAAGAAAAGCGCGAGAGAGGCATGGACATATATACACTACCAAACGTAAGGTAGATAGCTGGTGGGAAGCAGCCGCATAGCACAGGGAGATCAGCTCGGTGCTTTGTGACCGCCTGGAGGGGTGGGATAGGGAGGGTGGGAGGGAGGGAGACGCAAGAGGGGAGGGATATGGGAACATATGTATATGCATAACTGATTCACTTTGTTATAAAGCAGAAAATAACACACCACTGTAAAGCAATTATACCCCAATAAAGATGTTAAAAAAAAAAAAAAAAAAAAGAATGAACTTTCAGGGACTTCCCTGGCGGCCCAGGGATTAAGACTCTGCTTCCACTGCAGGGAGTGCGGGTTCAATCCCTGGTGGGGGAGCTAAGATTCCACATGCATGCTGCGCGGTGCAGCCAAAAAAATACCCCCAAAACAGAAACAGTGAACTTTCAGGGCTTGCAGACCACAACATGGGAATAATTGGAGGCTGGGTTTAGGGACAGTGAAGGGTCAGAGGGCTCTGAGGCTTCTCCCCAGCATGGCCTGATTTGGGATGTCACTAACCACTCTGGGAAAAACACAGAAAGATGGTGAATGTGGTTATTGAGATCCTGATGGGGTCATGACGCAGGGCTACACTGCCCTGAATGCC